CATCATCTCATTTCCATCACAAAATAACATTTGCGGCCGTGTAACTTCATCAAGCCGCCTATATAGCCCCTCGATGTTTCATTTGCATCACCCGCTCCATTTTTCGCCGTCGGGCGCTAGTTCGTCGGCGACCAAGAACCGCCCAAAGAGCCGTAAACGACCTCCGCGAGCTCCTCCGGCGTTGCACTGTCCAATTAAATGTGTCGTAAAGATGCAAATGCACAATAGGAGCACTCGTTGGTCGACTGGATACCTCATATGCAAACGCACACGTTCAGAAATTTGCATTTTCCCAAAAAAAAAGTGGTAATTAGAAGAAAAAAAAAAAGTCCTGCGTGGTCTGGCTCCACATTTCCTGCTCAGTGTGTTGCTGCGTGTTCTTTTTATGTCCAGCCCCGAGGCTCGATGAACGTACCGGCTTCTGTTGCTTCAGATTGCCTCGCAGCCCAATAAGATGCTCACCCCCACACACACACACACACACACACACACACACGCACACACGCACACACACACGTGTATACATCATTTGAGACACAATGTTCACCCGCTCGCCATTCATTGTTCTACATGAATAAGCCAGCCATTATGGACGCATCTTGTGAAGCCTTCCGAGAGGCGAAAGCGAGCTGCTCATCGCCTTGGAAACGGCAGGCCGGGCAGCCGAGGGAGCGCGGCTCTCTCCGGAGGAATGATGTTATCGCTGCGCCAGGGTCAGGTCGGGACAGACCCCCCCCCCCCCCCCCGGAAGGCCCTCCCGTGTGCTCGCTCCCCCTCATAGGACAGGAATGTGCACTTCGGCGGCGATGCGAGATGGAATTCATGGGATGCGGGCAGATCGGATTGCGTAATCTCACTATAATCTCGTGTGCTACCTACAAAAGAAATCTGATTACAGCGCGTGTAGTAGGAATATTGCCCGGACGCTTTTGCATGAAGCCGGTGAATCGGCCGATGATGGCCCTTAAAACAATCGGGCAAAATAATCGTCCAAATGGCCGATTACTTTTACCTATTCCAGCACAAGTGAACGGGTTAACTAGCTAACCAAAACAGCAGCACCAAACGCACAGATGAATTCGAGCATGGGGTCGCCGGGTAAATAAATCCCATCTGCAATTGAGTCAATAAACACCCGAGGCAACCTTTGGCGCAAACTGAAAATAATAATGTTGCTGTTTTTGTCGTCTCTCCAATCATTTATTGCCCTTATTGATTTGTCCAGGCTTGACGCGCAGCTGAACTTTGACCACAAACATTTCCACTCAGCCATTTTTTTGAAAAATCAATCAGGCCTTCGACACGGACGCAGTCCAATATTGGCTGATGTGTGCCGGAATGCTAATGACGTGCAAGCGTGCGTCTCTCCCGTTATTTATAACGTGATTTTTGTGCCCAAGGGTACGTACAAAGTGTGTGTCGACTCTTCAGATGCTGTAATATTCGTCATTTTTCAGAGAGGATAAAGAATATGTGCTTGTGAGTACATGTGCTACTCTCACGTATTCAATTATCCCCGCTGCTTCTGAAACCGTCGATGCTAACTGCTAGCACGAGAGTGGTCTTTGGTGTGGCTCGTTGATGAATATGAAAGGCGCTTGATCCGCGTCGGTTCGATCGCACTCGACGACGTTGGTTTTGAATTTGATGACGGCGCCGCCACAAATGTCATCCCGGCGGGGCACAAGAGAGCATCCGTTCTCGGTTTGATACGATCCGCTAAGCCACGCGCTGGCACGTAGCCGCGTTCACCTCCTGGAAATAAAATAGGTCACTGTATTGGGATAGTCGCCAATCACATCAGGCTGGATTACCGTACGTCGCCGAAGCCCGCCGGGGGGATATGTGTACGATTAGATATTGAAAATTAACTGCCGGATTTGGTGACAAGCTTGCGTCTGGCGAGAGCGGCGTTGTCGCGTCGTCACGTTTAATTGCGTTCGCACCCCGTTTAGCCGCGTGAAGACGTCCGATTTTAATCATCCGAGCGGCTCGAATGGAGAAGTTGAACGAAGTGGCCTCGGTACAAAAAGTTTGGGGGATGCGTGTTGTCCCGCCACGAGTAAATTATTCCGCTCGAATCCCGTCACGCGAGTGAACGCGGCTCTGAGGGGAGCGCGTGCCACCGGGCTCGGCGACATTCTCCCTGAAGCGACACAGAATGTGCAAAAGCAAGGTGTGAGATGTTGCAGCATTATCAGCCGGACACTCAGCCTTGGACAAAAGGCCTGTCTTGTTTTTTTTGGGGGGGGGGGGCGATCGTTAAGAGGACACTTAAGACCTTACCCTGAACTGTGAAGATACAGTCTGCATAGAGCCACCCTTCTTCTTGCTCACATGATGACGCGTGACTCTGATTCTGCCCTGTCCGTCTTTGTTTCGAGATTTCCAACGAGCGCCACGTTGTTGCATCTTTTTAGTAAGCGACCCATGAATGAGACACACCCCCCGCCCACCCACCACCCCCTCACGTCAGACACTCTGTGCCCACACTTGACTGATTCATCCCCTCGCGCGGTTACTATCCATTTTCTGGCCGATTTATCCGCAAATCCGTTTGACTCCGACACCGAAAGGCTCCTCAGCTCTTTGCCCACTCACCATGGCGCCGTAGAAAAGTGTGTGTATGTTGTGGCGGAAGGGGCAGGGGAGGTCGAGGGGGGCCGGGGGGGGGCGGTATTCCCAAGCTAGCTTGCTTCTGTGGTGATAAACACACATATTCTCACAGTCCATCAGGTGTGTGACTAAGCGTGCCGTTGTCAGCGTGACGGAGGATGAGACTCGATAGTGCCGCCGCCCACGCGAGCGCACACAGAGGCCTCCCTTGTTCCCCATCTGTCACCCGCTACTCGGCGGACCGCAGTGTCACCTGTCAAAAGTGCTGGTCATCGATTGCCTTCTGTAAGGTGGGCCCGCTGTCGCGATTAGATTTCACGCAACTGTTGCGCGTGTGTGTCAGGGTTGGGGGTTGGGGGATTTTGGCGACGGCAGCTGTTTGGACACAGGGTTGCCATTGTGGCCAGCCAGCTGACTTTCAAGATCTCATCACGGAGAGTTAATGGTGGCTTGTTGGATCATCGGCCTGATTCATGCCGGCCAGTGAAAAGTGACACTTTTTTTTTCTTCAATAAGACTTGCTCGTCAATCAAAATTGGACTGCAAATCACCCTGAAATATAGCCGGAAGCCAGATTTGACTGGACACTCATCATGTCATTGTAGCTTCAATTCTATCCTTGGTCTGTTTTTTTTTTTGGTGAAAGCATCTAAAATTCCAGGACTGATACAAATAAAAAGTCTTTGTCATCAGAGCCATCTGACGAGCCTCTTGAGTCCATGCTATGACCTTGCAGTGACATTGTCCTTGATCTTTTTCTCCCCCCTCCTCCTCTTTTGGAAGGAAATGTACAAAGTAGCTCATTCCCAAGACATCAGAACATTGTGATTGGACACTTCCATGCTTGAGCTCAAGTTGACTTTTTTTTGGGGGGGGGGGGGCGAACATCTCACCCTGAGTATCTTGGTCTTTGGGTTTCATCCCCTTGCCTTTCTTTCTACCTGATCGGAGGACGAGTCCACATCACGAGGTTGCAATATCCAAAATTCAACGACTAATAAGATCAATAGCCGCTCCTGTTTCGTCAACCGCGAACTGTCGATTCCAGAACAACGTGGATGCCACCTGACACGGTATTGCCAAACCCGAGCCCGCCCTACCACCTCATTGACACTTCCGCCTTGCGTTATTCCGACGCCTCCATGTTTGTTTGGCCCAAAAAGGAAGGAGGAGGAAAAGGAGACGGCGAAGCCGTGAGCAGTCTCCGTATCCCAGCGCATCCTCAGGTTACTCACTGGTCTCATCCATTATTACCGGGCCTCATCCATGATGGATGTCGCCGCGACAATGCCGCCGAGTGACGCTCCCGGCGGCTCGGGCCGGACGCTGACTCGCAGCTCCTTGGAGCTTCGCGAGGGTTGTGACCTACATAAACAAGGAAAATTGGAGATGACTCAACAGCAGGATAGGAAAAAAAAAAAAAAAGATCACATTTATTATTCAGACTTGGCGATCTTACATTCATTTACTACCTTACAAAACAAGGCCTTGAACCGACTCGCGAATACCCAGATAACAACCTTCATGACGACTTGCAGACTTATGTGCTCTCCCTTTCCCTTTTTTAGCAAGATGCTACTGCTCTGGAGAATGTATTCAATCGTTCACCCCCCCCCATCCCCCCACCCCATTACCTCCCCCCCATGCCTGCCCTGTTTGTGTTTGACGCTCGACTGACACCGGGAAGTAAAACAGAAGATGCGGCCTGGAGCTGATCATCAATCTTGGCCAAGCAGACCTTGAGGATAAACTCGCCGGCTCGATCGGTTGTAAATCCTCCGCTGCGGTTCTGGTGCCCCCGCAACTGCTCGGTTTTAAGGGCGGGCGAGGTCTCCGGTGTGAGCTCACACTTGCCATGACTTATTTGGACTCCTCTGGGTGGTTTCGGGAACTGGGCTAGCCGAAAGTAGGCTAGCCGTTAAAGTGGGCCACGGATGATAATCACGCGGTCTGCTCTCTTGGGGGGGGTCGGGCCGATGTGTCACATGACCCGCAGGCCTCGGAAAACTCCAAGCGCACGTCACGTGATACACTAAAAGGGACGGAAAGTTTCCATAAACCATCTCGGTAGAAAATAGATGACGGCGGAGGAAAATTGTGTGTTAAAAGTCAAGGGTTCATGCGTTTCTGAGTGTGCCTGAAGGAACTTCCCACTGTCTTTTTCAACGGACAAAAGTATCGGAACGCTTGACCACAACACCAATTGGGGGGGGGGACCTGACAGCAACTTTGAAGCGACAGTCCGAAACGTGACAGGGCCTTTGCCAAACCCCCGATTGATTGATTGATTGATTGATTGATTGATTGATTGATTGATTGATTGATTGATTGATGACTTCCAAGTCCATCTGTGATGATTGAATCCCAAATCTTTTTTGATTGGACACACCGGTGTGGAGTTAGAAGAAACACAGCCTGCTGTTTTTGCTCCAGCTAAGCGAGTTTCCCCCAGACAGACCAAAGGGGTAATTGACACACACACTCACAGACACACACACACATGCACACGCAGATCCACGCGGAGGTCATTACATTACCACTAAGCGTCTCCATAAGCATCTCCATAAACCCATGCGGGCATATCTGACATATCCATCTGCTCCACTAGGATCACGCCGAATTCCCCCACCTCCCCCCTCCCCTATTTTCTCTTGCTAAATCGGGGTTGGAGGGTGGGGGGTGTCAGCGGTAGTGGCAATGGAACATTGTGTAATGCCGGGGTTTTTTTTTTTTTGCCCACGTGTCTTTTAAAGGGCCTGAAGGTAAAATGTGTATGATTTTTTTTTTTTTAATTGAACCTAAAAAACATGGCAAGATCGTCAAGGGACAGTTTCACTTGCTTTCGCCAACGCTCGGAGTGCGTCGAGATGAAAATATGTGCGCCTTTAAATTTTTGAGTGTATCCTTGAGGATATTACGTCAAAGAGGAGGGTGAGGTGTGTGTTGGTGTTGAGAGAGCGCTCGCTCCTTGCCCCCCCCCCACCACCCCCCACAAGCAACATATGCCCAGCCTCGCTCTTCCTCTCAGTGCCCTCCTCGCTTCCCTGGGGGGAAACCCCCACGCCCCCTCATGCGAAAGGAAAGAAATGGGGTGTAAAGGGCGCCGAGTTCCCATTGGATCTGCCCCCGTCTTTGCCATCTGTGCCCGATCCAGGCCAGGCCAGACTCCACAGTGGGGAAAAACTCACTTCTCGTTCTCTGAAGGTTCTAATTAATTTGACATGAGCCGATCCTCACACAATACTCCTTAATTGCCTCCAATTTAGCCAAAGTCCCCTCAGCCAGAGGCGAGAGTTCCTCGCCGATCTCATTTATTCTCACTCTACCTTCCACTCTCCCACTGCACCGTTTTTTCAATATATTTTGGTCTCGCGCGTTTTCTGTTGATGTTTTCCACTTTGACTTCTCCGTGGGTCTAAATGAAGGAACTCAGGTGGTGTCTCAGCCGCGTTTTGCGGTATCAAGTCTATTTACGTGCCCCAGATTTTTTGCCGCGGGCCGCCGCCGTGCTGTAAATACGCGGGCTATTGACGGAAAACAGAAAGTGGAAAACATGTCCGCAACCAAACCGCGCCAACACCCTTCTATGGTACTTCTGTGCTGCCCCACATATCCACACACACACTCACTTACACTCAATCAGACTTTTATAGGCCCTATATAGTCTCTCACTCACACATGTACTTATTAGGCTGGGTGGGTCACTTTCTCCTGACAGTTTGCACTTGTAGTGACTTATTGTGGGCGAGTGGAAACTTGGCCAGGTTGTTTCAGTCGCTGCTGTTAGGCCGCATTGCCCGTGAACAAAATTGAATTACTGGGTCAGAAAACTGCAACTAAATTATACCGAATTGAATTTCTCATCGCCGAGCGAACACATCTGGAAAAATGGGGAGAGCAGTTGAGTTATATTGTTGCGTAATGTCAACAGATGCTAACGGGCTAATGTTCTTTTTGAACTTATTTTTGCATTAACCCGTTCAGGCACGGCGGTTGCTACAGTGGACAGCTTATCATGTGATCAGGTTACAGGGTGCACACATATCCTCAAATCAAATGTTACAAAAACATACAGTAATGACATAAACGATGTAATTGAATATATGCCACTTTTTTTTTTTTTTTGCTTCAGTTCACTGGATCTTGTGCTGCTCCCTCTGCTGTGTGCGACTTGGCCGCCTGGGGGCAGTCTGCAGACAACTAGGTAGGGACCGGGCTGGAGTGACAATTTGTGAATAATTGGCGTAGGTTTACGTCATGTTAACTGTTCTTTGCAGAGGATAAAGAATATATGCCTGTGTGAATTGTGGTATTAACTGTTTGTGTGTAGCATATACAATCACTTAGGCATGTATTTGAGTAGCTCAGCTGGAGAAAAGAAACAAATGGTGCTTAGCGCCACCTATGGTTTTGGAGAAAGAAAAACATTTGGTCAATAATTCGATTTTGTGGAACGTCATTCCTCTTTCCAGTCCACGCGCACAATAACTCCTTGTCCGCTCTCTTCTTCATTTTTATTTTTTTCCTCCCTCTCTCCCGACAACTCTGGCCTTTGTCCCGTCGGACGGTCAGCCCCGGGCGGCTGCCCTCGCGAGCGCCTGCAGTAAATTCCTGCGGCGGTTGGAAACACAAACATGAGCCGTTTGCGATAGAAGCGACGACACAAGCGCGGCTTTGTGCGACGCGCTCACAAGCTCTCCCTTCACACACCTGTATCATGCATTCATTCTCATTAGACAGATGTTTTTTTTTTTTTAAAAAAAAACGGTCTGACATTTTTGCTAATCATTGTAATTGGAGACTATTAGCAGACGTGTTGGGGGCGGGGAGCGATTACAGTTATTTTGGCGGACTTTATGACATCTCGGCATGAGTGAGCTGTTAAAATTTCGGCCATATAAACAAACTGCAGAATACAATCAATACAAACCACCCCAGATGACATGTTTTCAGAACTTTGCACTCACATAATGTGTCTCAAAAGTATGCGACACTTCTCGCTTTCCCCCTCCCTCTTGAAAAGGAGGAAGCCCGCAAAAGCCTTCCAACCATGTGCCAATGTGCTGAGCCAGTGGAAAAAGCGACGTCCGTTGGAGCCACGGCGTCGTGTAGAAAGATCAGGTGACCTCGAGGAAACCATATTCATACAGTCATTGAGTAAGAACAGCAACATTGTTATTTTCCGCTTGCTTGACCTAAAGGGGAACAATATCCCACTCCAGTCAGCATGTAAATTTTTTTTCTATATTTTATTATTTATTTATTTTTTGCTGACAAGCTGTGCTGTGTCATGCACTTTTTTTCCATCCTCTCTGAATGACACATTGTTCCCAGTGTGAATAGACGAAACACTTGAACGCGGCCAGCTATTATTCGAACATGTGATAAGATCACCGCAACGGGTGGAAGTGATCACGTCATTGAGTGTTCTTACCAGAATGGACTGTCGCTATCAACGGTCTCTGAAGTAGATTAAATGGCCCTTAGGATTGACTTGAAATACTCTCAAAACAGCAATTAATGGGGAGGTCAGATCATAACAGTCAATGGGAAGTGGCAACCCTCAAGCACCTGGTCTCAGCCCATATATATATATATATATATATATATATATATATAGGTTTTTTTACACATTTGTCCAACCAATTATAAAGGAAGACATTTTTGTTTGTGTCCACGCAAAGTTACTTCTGGATTACTGTGAAGCAACATTGGCATCCCTCAGGCAACAAGTCTCAGCCCCCATATTATTTAATGTAGAAATGGAAGTGAAAAAAATAGCACTGTGGGTTGTATGAAAAATTATTAAAATATGTTTATTTGCTGTTTTGGTGTCAGGTATGGCAACAACAATGACATTTCTTTATAAAAAGTGTTTTCTTTCAAAAAAAAAGTCCTCATAAAATGAAATGATTTCAAATTAATACCAATAGTACAAGCGGCATTTAAAATGAAGTAAAATCTTATAAATACAAAATAGTCCAATTAAACTGGCATTTAAAAATGTATGTAAATGGCTCTGATTGTGGCACTTGCTGTTCAACCTTCAATTATTAGTCAAACTGGCTTGCCTCATGCATGGAAGTTCTTCGCCAGCAATTAAAGTTCTATGTTGGGATGAACGCGTACGCACTCAACCACAGCTAATTTGGTTCATCGTGAAAACCGCTACTTTCCAGCACATTTGTATTTTTTTAATCTGTGAAAGCGTTCACCGTGTGCAGTACTTTTTTGGGGATGGGGTTTAGGCGTGCCATGACACCGCCAAGTGAGTCATACAGTCAGCTATGGTGACAACACATTAGCATGCACAGGGACTAACGACACTTGACATTTACTGTAGTTCACAAGACGCTCCAGAGCATGTGGCATGTTTCCACTGAGGAACTGAGTCAACACAATACAGCGGCGGTGGGATAAATGACTTTTGTAAAAATAAATGAATAAATAAATAAATAAATAATAATAAAAGTAATAATTCGCATTAACAACAGGAAATAAATCAAACAAACGACATATTTGTGTGGCCAGCCTGCAGCGGGGTGTTAAGCGCGTAATAGATTTGAAGTGGAGATTTGGTGGTTTCATGGTACGTTCTGTTGCCTCACACTTGGTTTCACATGCAGCTTAGTCACATCGGCGTTGTTTAGACGCGATTATGCTTGGTTTCATGAAAATTTGAGGACTAGTGTCACATTGGGCTGTGAGGCATCACAGAGTAGACTATGAAATCCACAATAAAAAGCCATTAAAGTCGCTGTGAACTGGAAATAAGTGTCTTGTAAATTTGACTTTCACCCTCTCTCGCTCTTCTGCCTTCTCTCTCCATGACATGCGCACACTCACAGCTGACAACAAGGCGCTTTAAAAATGACCACACCAGCACAAAGCCCGGGTCCACGCATGTTCTGTCAACTCCGACTTAAATACTAATAAATTCCTCCCCTCTTCTTTCTTCTACCTCCTCTCAGTGATGTGCCCACACTCACGGCCAACAACGAGGCATTCTAAACCGGCCACGCCAGTGGACGATCCAAAGAGAAGGTGCATTTTTGCGATATGCCCACAACTGAGTACCACATAGTTCTCAGTCTTTGCACCTTTTTAGCATTGTTTTACCCTACAAATTGCTCATGTTGTGGACTGCATATAGATTTTTTTTCAGTTTTTTTGCTATTTTCGCACAGTTTGTAACTAACGCGCCGCGGTTGCTCAAGCAAACTTGCATCAATCTTCCTCTTCTTTTCTTTCCAAATCCTCCTCCTCCACCACCTAACATACTAGTGACTCACAAGTTCCCAACGAAGAAAGTTTCAAACTTGCACGTAATTCGCGGATCGCGCGTGCACGCTTGAACTTTCTGCCGAGCCTCCCGTGTGCGCTGAACGCACTCTGAGGCGTTAATGATAAGTCCCATTATGTCGAGACGGCAAGTGTATTACACACGGAGGCTTGACCCCTCTCTGTTTACCATCAACCAACGTTTAATGGCGGTTTTTAAAGCTTTCATGACGCTTCCTTTTGCGCATGCATCTCGCTGGGCGCCTATCTTTGACTGCACAGCCAATTGCGGGGTTCACCTCCCTTGCAAATGCACTTGATGGGATTTGACATAATTCTCCAAAACACGCCTCGCTACAATGACTACAGGCATTAAAGGCGAAGAAGAGAAAAAAAAGCGATACGTCATGGAAAGAATGACGTCAGGTTAGATTAGTGGCATGAGGGGACGAGCTAAGAGTGGCCTAGGTGGAGTCACTCAGTGCTGTCTGTCGAGAAAGAGAGGGGAAAAAACGATGCTGCATTGAGGTGACGGTGAGTGCATTGCGTATGCTGCATCACAGGCTGGTGTGAACTCTTGAATAATCCCGTTATTACACAGAGACCAGAGATCAAAGAGGCACTACGAGAAAATGATTTTTTTTTATTCATGACGTAACCGTTTCCATAGGCGACTGATATGCGGGCTGAGCCAATGGGAATTCACACCATCGGCCTCGGGCCCACCCCTTTTTGCCGCTCATCACATGTACCCGGTCGAGTTGTGGAAAAAGCAACAAGAGGAACCAAGAGAGGCATGTGCAAGAACTTCCGCTTTCGCCTACACGCTCTTTCCACTAAAGTAAACGTTAAACATGACGCTTAAATGTGCTCTTAACTTTAGTTTGTGTGACTACCACACCTAATAAATACCAAGAACATGTTGGGATGAGTATATAATTAATCACCCACATTTACAAATTCGAATATTTTGTTCCATAGGTTTTCTCTTTCAAATGCAATTATGTCAGTTCAATCAGACGTGTTGCCATGCCAATCTAATTTGCCGAGGGCCTTCAGAATCAGTATTCCTGGCAGATGAAATTTAAATTACATGAGCACTGGGTCTGTTTCTTTAACTAATCAGTTGTAAAATTCATCCTCATTCCTCAGTGGGCCAAAACGCTAGCAGCCAAGGATGTCAGTTTTTTTCTTTTCCCCTGATTGTTTGGTCGGTGCAAAAAAGGGTTGCGTGTTATGTCATTATATAAAGTTAAATTTGGAACTGCTTTAGGTGACGTATTTGGCACAGTTGGATTCCACTATACTGTATATTTGTAAAATATTGATGGCATCTACAATTGTAACATGATGATGGTTTTAAGAAATTGATTAAATAGGCCAGGTAGTGAAATTCAGATTTGTCGCAGCACAACAAATCAATGAATAAGTAGTTTTGAAATGAGAGGCCAGTAAAATCTGTTCAAGCATGATTCCATTTATTTATTTTAAAAGGGGGATGAAAAACCAAAAACATCTTTGCAATATCCCAACGATTTTAAAAGTGTAGACAATTTTCAGTTTTGGCATTTGAGCAAGAGACATGAAGGTGGTGACCATAACTTGCTTTCACGAGCTCCGTGTAATAATGTGGCGGGCCGGATCTGGCCCCCAGGCCTTCAGTTTGATAGGGGCGGGGGAGTCCCCAAGAGTGGGGGGAGTCCTCACTTAACCAAAAGCAAAGAGCATGGGATGACACATTTAGTGTATTTTCTTTAACACATATCAGTAGTAACGTTATGATATTCAAATGTTAACAACGCCCGTGTAACGGGATTTTGAATTAGGCGTTCAGTGGCTGCCAAAAGTGGGGAACCATCTTTATGAATTCGCGACGCTGTACGCACTCTTTGGTAGAGTTGTGACGTCACGGTAGGCGGGACTTGTACCTCAGTTCAGGGGAGCGATCCTTGGAGTCGCTGAGACTGAGGGGGAGTGAGAGAAGGACGCAGGGACTGAGGGTGCTCTTCGGAGAACCGAGTAAGTATTTTTCGCCTGTCCTTATTCCCTCTTCTCGGGCTACAATGCCGCGCGCTCACGGGCGGTATAGAGGTACCGACTTTGGGGCGCCTCGTCTCCGGGAGCCCCTGGTGGCTTCTCAGCCGGGATGCTGCAAAAATCTCTGTCGCGCCTTCCTCGCTTGTCTTCCCCGCCTGGGGTCGAGTCGCGAGGAGCTGTCAAATGTTTGGTAAAGTCGCCTTTGTGGATTCTTTGCAATCAGTATACAGTATTAGGCTAACGCCCGGGAGCTAGGAAGCTAACCGCGCTAGCGTGGGACCCCGTGGGCTATTAAAACGAGATATTGATTGACGGGATTTATTTTTTCTTTTTCGTTTTTTTTTTTGGTGGAGGGGAGCGTGCGTGACATGACGGGAGTTGCATGCAACGATGCGTCAATGTGTACGTCAAATGACGCTCCAGGGGAAAAAAAAAACTTGGCTGCCTTTAAAGCAATACCATGGTTATTACTACTTCCAATTTATACTACTAGCACTTGATCCCTCCGCGGAGACCACCGGGCCTGTCTAGGCGATGGAGCCGACCATCTGCAGTGTCAAACCGGGTATGATGACACTTAAGTGCCATGGCTAAACGTGGAAGCCCAACCTCCTTATTCCCAACCTCCCCATACACACCCCCGGCTACACTGCATCCTCATTACGCACGTTAACTTTCTCCCATCGACCTTGGTGGTTTCTGTTTTTTTCCTCCACGTTGACTGCAAGCCTCCAGGTGGGCTGCAGCCGCGGTGCCCCTTTTCGGTGCGGGGATGAAGGGATCACCGCTGATCCAATCAAACGGCGCAGGGCAGCGCTACTGATGCAACTGCAGCCGAG